CGACGGACAAAGAGCATTGACTAATTGGACTTGCTTCGGAATGGGTACGTTACTGTGCGAATGTTAACAAAGGTTCGCACCTTCAGATGTCCAACATGAAGCTATGAATCCTACAGGATGGTAGCATCGGGCATCATTGCCCTCGGGTTTTCTAGTACTAACAGCTACGTCAAAAGATCGTCTCTCTTCCCCGGCCAGTCTGCTGGTCGACTCCTAATCCGACCACAAGTGTTTCAGACTTCAAAAGGGAAAGGATAAAAAAGGATGTTCAAAACTCAAGAGTTTAAGAAAAGCTTTGAAGAACGAATGAGAAGCAATGCCACATCTAGATCATCACTGACTACTTTGGGGGCAATCGGCCAAGTTACATTACAAATATTTTCAAACACGCCCGAGTTCAGAATATGTGCAAAACAAATCGCGACACAATAATATTTAACAAAAGAAAAACGCCCTGCGATTTGCATGTGGGCCGAGTACTACCAGGTTTCTGAGGCAAAGGAAAGTGAATTTCATTGAGGAATACACAATCGGAGCCTTCGGCTAGTTAGAGCCTGATCCGCAAGGCGACGATTGATGAAAATAATCGCCCCATAAAAACATCTCAATGCTTGCGCGGTTTATTCAGTACTGTAACCGGAAGTATTCAAATATACAGGACGCGCTGCGTCCATAGAGAAAGTAATTCAGGCCGATATTAAGGATAGTCAGTGTAGTTTCAACCCTGTTCATTCATCGGACAACGAAAAGTGAATCTCCAATTAAACTACTTACGAGTAATAAAATGAAATAATTAGTAAGATAACTGCAGAGAGCAAAATCTTTGGCATTTGACAAACAAAAGTAAAACGAATCATGCGAATACTAAGAACAATGAAATATTACGGACTTTAGTGAAAGGCAATACATCTAAAAATTTGCTTACCAAAAATGAGAAGAACATGGATATGGCAGACATAAAGTGCCATATGTCGTGCGCATCGTAGAAGCTCAGGACCAGGCATGGTTGATTCAGTGCGCGTGATTGGGCAGGCGTAACCTGTTCAATCGTGTACAGAAAGAGAGATATAGCGGTATTCATTTTTGAGATGAATACTAGGGAACCTGTAGATCTCAACTAAACATCACGTTGCCGGAAATGTGAACGACAGTATCGCTTCCGTATAAAACGATAGATAAACAAGGCGTGATAGACAAGTCACGNTCCGGACTTGCATGATCAATGCAAGGTCCAGCTATTTGTAAACGCCGAGAAACGGAGCTATGAGACTTAGCCAACCACGTCCTGATGATTGTTAGGAGGAAGACATCTGTAAAAGCGTGCAACCTAATGGACTTCGCGGCTGAGGAAATCACAGCAACAACTGGATTTGATTCTTATTACTAAATATCAGCTGATAGGGGTCTACTGCTTTGCGCGCGTTTATTACCAGGGTATAAGTCGATCTAGGAAAACGTGGAGTAGCAGCTATTTATTCTGGTTATCAAAAAGAATACGCTTGTGTCCTGTCGATTATCTGGTTGGCGTTAGTTCCGGAGAAAATAAACTCGTACCGCTAAGGAGCAAAACAAGCATCGCGCGTGCGAGAGAAAACCCACATGACAACGCAGCGTCATTATTATTCATGCACAATGTTCAAATGTTCTGAATACCGACCGATTTTGAAAGCTTGGTAATTTGCAGGACCACTCTCGCCTTATCTACACTTGGTATCTTCCGTCATGCAGAGAGTAGTTCCGAGTGTTTTGAAATGAATTTGAATATCTGTGCAATGTTCATTTTTTCTGGATTCACTCATTCGTGAACCAGGGTACCCTCTGTACACATCTGTCGCGCTCCGTAGAAAAGCGTTCACATTAGACTAGCCTTATATTCCATTGGATGGAAGCTTTTAGAATGAAGATATTTTCCAGATCATCTTTGATGCACAAGTATTTTAATTTCACTGTGTTCAGTGTGAAAATTCCAGATTGAGAATGATATTGTAGCCTTGCGTTTAATAGTGGCATGCTGATCTTTGGGTGAAGGTCACTCAGGCGTTCAAATAATCTCTCGCCGTCCTCTTGTGTTACAAATATCAGATACGTCATCAACGTACCGGCGGGGNTTCGTACTGTAGTTTTCATTCAAGATGGCTGGCACATGTGTTCTCTAAAATGGGCCTCAGTGGACTACCAATATTAGTCAGAATCCTCTACAGTGGAAATAACACTGGGTTTCTAAAATTCATCACAGCAGACATTCAAAAGTGCCATACCAAACAGTGTGAATGACTTATCACTCTGGATTTACCAAGGGAACAAGCCTGTGGTGAGTATTGTTGATAGCAATCTCTCTCGGCCTCAGATCCAGGATTTTCTCATCCTATATGGAAAACCACTGACGTGAAATGATCTAGGAATAATGATGCAACCCTGCTTTTGAATTCTCTATTTAAATTCATTCCGGGGGAATGCATACCCTCAATAATAGCAATGATACTAATGAAGTTTGGCTGAACAAAAAATTCAATTACTGTACTGTTCATCATATTTTGATGAACAAACTTATATGTACAAAACGACTTAAGGAAAAAGGTGCTTCGTTGGTATTCACTTATGCACCACCGACATTTCCCATACACAACAGCAGCATTAATTTGTTCTTACGAGGGTGCTGACATGTTACCCATTTTCGAGCTCAATTACGGTTGGATTAAAGTGTCCCAGATAATTAGAGGTAACAATGAAAGAAACCCGTGAGAATACGACTGAACTACAGCACACTCACCTCCCAAGTGGTTAATCGTGAGAAGAAAAAGTAAATGGAGATAGCCCAGGACGCGATGGCGAACATCATGAAAACGACAGGCAGTGGCAAAAGTCGTTCTCGATTGCGTAGCTGGAAAGCAATAAACAATTGGGAGGCATGAGCCAGAAACACTCAACCTAACAGATGCTTTAAGGGTTAAATCGAGAAGCACTCGTGATTTTACGCAAAAAACAAAAACTGATAATACCTACAAATGAACGGAGCACTGAAAGCAGTATATTGAAAATGAAAACACTTTCTGTTACAAATTTGAATAGGGAAATCAGAAACAATGGGCCCACGATCATTTCACTGTATCTGTTCACGTGCATATTGTAGTCACAGTGACTTTTACAGCCAGTGAGATAACAACCGTGAGACGAAGAGCGCTAATCGGAATGGGCAATGCGACAAAACACAAAAATGACAGGAACATCGTCAGTCATTGTAAAGCAACACCAGAAGTAGGAAAACCAATAACTTTCCTCCAAAACGAAAGCTTTTTAAACTAATCATACAAAGGTGATGATATGAATGAATCAATTAGCAAGCGGTTGAACTCTGCCGTCAAGCGCGTCTATCACACAATTCACCTGGTCACTATCTTAACTAACACCCGGATAACAAGGACATTGTTGAAAGAACCAGTGCTCCCGCCGTGCGCCAAATCAAACTGCATTTATCAATTCAAGTGTGGATGCTCGGCCGTCTACCTGAGCAAGACAGACAGGCAGGTGCGTCACCAAATGGCTGAACACAACGCGATGGTTTAGGAAAGCGATGGACGACAAGTTTGAAGACTTTACGTCATCGAATGGGTAGAAGACCTAGAGCTTCGATAGCACTTATCCGAACGAAAACATTGTCACTTCAACCCACGCACTTCAGATCATCTACAACACAACACAAACGAAGTTACTGAAATGGGCCGAGGGTCCAACCATTCGTATTCTCAAGCTCGATCTATGCAAACAACGTGAACAGATAGTTGTATCATCTTTGCCTTGCTGACTGACAGCTATCCTCTATCGTTTTTCATGCTCTCGTGTGGCGTTGTCCGTCGTTATTAGTGATCCTGTCTTCGTCTCACGGTTGTTGTCTCACTGACTATAAAGTCACTTTGGCTGCAGTATGCATGCGCGCATATGCAATAAAATGACCATGACTACACTGTGCAAGTCATGTTTCTTACTTCTCTATCTTGAAACTGATTTCAGTTTCAGTTGGTACAACCATTATTCATGCACTTTCGTGCGCCGGTTTTGGTTCCTGTCTGCCCATATGGATGAACAGTAGGAGAAAGACAAGTTGGAAGTAGAGTCGAATAGAGAATGGACAAGTTCAATGGACTAATGTTGCAAAGAAATAGAGGATACACGAACGCCATTGTTTACGACACAGTCATATCACTCAGTGTCTCTAACCATCGGTTACGATCATCCCGAGGTTCCCATCCAGGGAGCCTAACGGGACCTACGCGACCCAATCCCCTGGTTAGGGTTTTCATACTCTCGTGCCAGGTCTTAGCTTGACCACCTTGGGCTTTATTCGACCCACTTCCTGCCTCGGAAAAATCGCTCGCCGTGGCAACCTATCTGGTGACATGCGTAACACATGCCCCAACCAGCGTACACTATGGATGTCGACCACTTGCTCCAGTGGGCGGCCGCGATTAACTAAAACTCTACGCCTAACCTGATAATAGTATTCACTCCTTTCCTTTAAGATTGTAGTGATATAATACAGCAAAAGAAAAAAAACGAGGAACTGAGTTATTTTGTTGTTCACCGGTGAAACACCGTACTCATTTGGGTGAACGCCGTGCCATAAGATAGCGGATGTCGCCGGATGAGAAAATAAAGGCACAGGCCGGTAGCTGATTATTGATCACCTTCACGTACTCACAAACAGCAGTCAAACAGGAATGCATCATGAATGGATTTGTGCCTAAAATGTCAGAACCATAAATATATATAATCCCAACAACTGATCTATAGATATCTAGGATCCACGGTACATAATAATTACTCATGGTTACGGGGAAGAATAGAATTTCGTGGCGATTGTCCTTTCATAAACGGTGGTTTGGTAGCCAGAAATAAAACATGATAGCATATTGCGATAGCGCTGGACAGAAATCTAACCAGAATCCACAGTGGTATTTATACTTTTTTGATCTGCAGCAAGAGCTGCACATGAAAAAAACTGGAGGCGTTCAATCGCTGGTTTGATCAGCTTGAAAATTACGAGATCCTACGAAAATGCTATCGGAAAATTTGCAGCACTGTCAATTATGGATCTCACTAACTCCAGAGAACCGTTTTCAAGTCCAAAGTATTCATCATTACTGTGAATTACGTAAGTAGTGAGGAGAGTGAAACTAGACAATCACACCCATTGAGAGCTAGCATCCACATGGTTAACTTTACGGATAACGGAGCGGTTATCAACTGTTATCGGAACGAATTCGTAGGAGTGGATTCCAGTCTTCAGACCTAGAAATCGATCACTTGGCCACACCCCACTGACAGTTTCCGCTCCAGAGTAAGGGAAAAACACCAGGGAGAACAATATACAATGTGCAGATAAAACCGCAATGAAAAACTGCACCGTATACGTCACATTTTTGTTCCAGGTCGGAGTCCAGGTAGACTGCAACCGGCGGGTTGGAGACAATGAAGAGGGTCGCAGCGAATCGACGCCAGTGGTGTTTTTGTGATCATCTCTTATCCGACCGGAAAGCTCAACGGAGAATGGGTTGTGCTATCGATAGTGGTTCACTCTGTTTGCCCTTCTCACAATGCAGGCTTACTCGCCGACCACCTCGCACGTTCCTAATTACTTTAAACACACTTGAAAGCAATCGGTAAATTTAGGCCCAAAATAATTCCACACTATGACAATGAAAACGATGAGCAGACAACTGACTTCAGCACAATCTAAGCCAACCTCAGTCATCTACCGTTCGAACCGTTTAATTAATCACTTGATGGATTTAAACCAATACGTCATTAGGGGATATTGGTATGATGAACGGTGGAAAGAGTGACGCCTTGGTCAGAAACGTAAATCGGCAACCGAAGCATTGGGATAAGGGCGCTGAGAACCACACAGGATCAAATGGGATAGATATAGTACTAAGTCGATTGACAGCAGAGGTAAGGGTTTTGACCTGGAATGTTGAGGTTTTTCGCAAGCCATTAACAGCGAATCAAATTGCATGACCATCATTCTAAGATCAATAGAGCTACAAGTCCCATATAATCACATTTTCACTTTGTTGTTTGGTGCAATAGCCCATCTTTCATAGATGTGACACGTTGATTTCCGCTATCAAATATCACGAATTGGGCTCATGGTCCATATAAATGAATTTCCTTTTGTCTCATGACCTCAAAGTACAGTTCTCATGCACCCACGGTAACAGTTTCGTACCACCCCTCTAGGTTTTCATTTATGGGTACACCTTGATAATCACTTTTGAGTATTAGCATAACATGGAATTAAAAAGGCAAAAGTACATTTGAACGCCTTAGCATTCACTGAATAAAAATATGATGGAAAACGCAGGAGAATACCACGACAAAGTCATCCTACTGCCAACTAGCATCCAACGGAAATGAAGCAAGTCAGTATGGCGTAGAGCGGTCATTCCGTGGCGTGATCTCAGTGTTGTAAACAGTGATGCACGTGCATCTTTTTATTAAACACCTAAGTGTGATGAACAGCCGAGGGGGTTGACCCCATAGTCACGAGGACCTACTGTTTAATGATGGAAACCGACAATCTAAGCCCCGGGACTTGGAATGGCGAACCACATAAGGTC